GAGCTGGCAGGGCGCGGCGTGTGGTTTGCCAGGGCGGGCTGTGTGCAGCTCGGCTCTGGACTCCAGCTGCGCTGCAGAGCAGAGCCACCGCGCTCCGGTCCCTTATCTACCCTCGCAAGTCTCCCCAGTTATCTGCTCCGTTTCCCCTTCTGTGGACAAGGCTTATCTTATCTTCACGCTCTCTTCCTCCGTTTCCTTCTTCGCTTCTCTGCTAACTCCTGCCACAAAAAGAAAAAAAACACACAGGGGGGTGAAGAACAGCGACGAGATCCTACTGCAGTAAGTCCATCCGTGGGCTTGGGGGATGCCGGGCCACGCTTGGGAGATGCTGGGTGATGTTTGGCCATGCTGGGAGGACGCTGGGTGATGTTTGGCCATGCTTGGGAGGTGCTGGGTGATGTTTGGCCATGCTGGGAGGACGCTGGGTGATGTTTGGCCATGCTTGGGAGGTGCTGGGTGATGTTTGGCCATGCTGGGAGGACGCTGGGTGATGTTTGGCCATGCTTGGGAGGTGCTGGGTGATGTTTGGCCATGCTGGGAGGACGCTGGGTGATGTTTGGCCATGCTTGGGAGGTGCTGGGTGATGTTTGGCCATGCTGGGAGGACGCTGGGTGATGTTTGGCCATGCTTGGGAGGTGCTGGGTGATGTTTGGCCATGCTGGGAGGACGCTGGGTGATGTTTGGCCATGCTTGGGAGGTGCTGGGTGATGTTTGGCCATGCTGGGAGGACGCTGGGTGATGTTTGGCCATGCTTGGGAGGTGCTGGGTGATGTTTGGCCATGCTGGGAGGACGCTGGGTGATGTTTGGCCATGCTTGGGAGGTGCTGGGTGATGTTTGGCCATGCTGGGAGGATGCTGGGCCATGGTCCAGCGATGCTCAGGCTGGTCCCGGCGCTTGCTTGGCTGATGTACATTATGCTTAGGTGATGCCAGGTGATGCGGGGGGGATACTGGGTGACGCTCTAGTGATGCTCTTGGGGCTCAAGTGATGCTCAGGTGTCTCAGTGGGACGCTCAGGAGATGCTGGGCAGTACTGGGGGGATGCTGGGTGATGCCAGGAGATACTGGGGGGATACTTGCGATGCTCGGGGGATGCAGGGCGATGCCCGGGAATGCTGGGCGATGCTGGGACGGTCTGCCAGCTCCACCTGCTGGCACGCACCGCCTGACACTGTGGGCCGGCACTCGCAGCAGCAGCCCAAAACCAGGAGACCATAAAGGAGAGGGTCTCCCCGAGCTGCAGGCTGCTGCGTTGGGGGAAAAGCCTCAAATTAGCTTGAAAGGTGTAATTGGTGGGGAATTTTGGGCAGCCTGTGTTTGTGGCTCGCCGCAACCTGCTGGCTCTTCACCTGAGCCGACCTGGCTTTGCTCCCCGCTGCCTGCAACAGACGCTCATTGAGGCTTTGAAACCAAAGCGGCGAGAGCTTTCCAGGGCTTTTCCAAGGAGGCGGATGGAGAACCACTCGGCCGGCCTGCCAGGATCCCCCCCCTGCCGGCGTCGGGCTCCCCCCCTGG